ATATGATGTGGTAATATGAAGTGGTAATATGAAGTGGTAATATGAAGTGGTAATATGATGTGGTAATATGAAGTGGTAATATGAAGTGGTAATATGAAGTGGTAATATGAAGTGGTAATATGATGTGGTAATACTATGTGGTAATATGATGTGGTAATATGATGTGGTAATATGAAGTGGTAATATGATGTGGTAATATGAAGTGGTAATACTATGTGGTGATATGATGTGGTAATATGATGTGGTAATATGATGTGGTAATATGATGTGGTAATATTATGTGGTAATATGATGTGGTAATACTATGTGGTGATATGATGTGGTAATATTATGTGTTATTACCAGAATTGTCATACAACTTTCTGTTTAATCTCGTAGCATTTCTCAAAATATTCCAACTTTTCTTGTATAATTACCAGTTTTGTTGTATTTTAATTATTATTCTGTTAATATTTTTACATTATTCTGATATTTTTACAGATTAAAATATTTATTCTGGTAATCCTACTTAATTATGAATATAATTGTTTTTATATTATGACAACTTCATTCTCTTATTATGATTATTCTTGTACTACTACAACTTTTTTCTCGTATTACTGAGACTTTGTTAACATTTTATACTTTATTCTCATTATTACGGCTTTATTTTGTGTAAGTACAATTATTCTGGTATCTTTATAACTTTACTGTTGTACAACTTTAATCTTGCAATATTATAATAAAATTCCTCTTTATTCTGTTATTTTTTATCATATTATGAATGATGACTTTTGTCTCAATGTAACATTTTTTGTGTTATTCCAACTTTATTCTAAAAATATTTTTACTTGATTCTCATTAAGAATATTATTCTAGTATTATCATGACTTTAATTCTCATATTACATCTATTCTGGTAATATTATGACTTTATTCTCATAATTATTGTTCCTGTTTTTCTAACACTGCATCATAAAGAACAGAGTGTTTCTGTAAATGTAATACTGCAGTCAGTGTCAGATCTGTCTGTCTGTCTGAACCGGCTGTTTGCTCTGCAGCATCAGTTTTATTCTGGCCTCTGCTGAAGCACAACATGACTGAGTCACATGACCACAAGCACGCCGGGACGGACACTGCAGAGCCATTACATCACGGCTTGAAATTCAACACACAAGCGCTCCAACCTGGGCTTCAGAACGGACAGTTTCAGAGAGATGTTTTTCCTGGAAGTGGGCAGAAAACACCGGAAGAAGGAAGAGAAAGAAGGGGAGAGTGGGTGAGGAGGGGCAGGAGGCGGCGTTTAGATAAATGAGGCGTTGACCGGGCCGGGGATTACCGCGTGACGTCGGGGGCGACGGTGGGCCGGACGTTCTTCATGATGGCCTGGATCCAGTTGCGGCGGATCCCGGAGGTCATGGCAGACAGCGTGCAGGCGCCGTCCTTACACTGGGAGCAGGCAGGCACAGCGTTTCATCAGAAAACACATTTCAGATGTTCAAAACCAAAAATAATCACATAAAACTGCATGAAACGGTAAAATTAAACCGCTTTAAAGCATTTCAGGGGAATTTGGAGACAAAATAAAAACAGATGAACTAAAGAAGGTAGTTTCAGTGCACTATTATTATGTATTAATGTTATTAATGGTGTCTTGTTACAGTATTCAGCCTTCTGCAGCAGGGAGAAGGTAAACTATGACAAAATGTTCTGTTCACAACTTTGGTAATTATAACTTTCCCAAAACGGGTAAAGCTAACTAACAATAAGAAAAGTATGTCCGTGTCTTTAATGAAGTTTATGAAAATATCCTTGATTTTTTGTGGAATTCTGACTTTTTTTGCCTCAGAATTCTGAATTTTTCTCAGAATTTTGAATTTTTCTGACTTTTGATCTCAGAAGAGTCTGAATCCTTAGAAAAGGTCAGAATTTGGAGAAAAAAAGTTTAATTCAAGTTGATTAAAATCTGATTTTCCATAAATTAAATCTTGAAAAACCAAAAACTCCATGAACCAATAAAACCGATTCGCCGCCCCGCCTCCTCTAGACTAACGCTACCAAACGGGCGACTGTGTTGGTATTTTTGCTCCACTGAATTATGATTAATCGGATTCCCTCTGGATGTTTTCCCTGCGGTTCCTCATGTAAACAAAGACGGGTCTGGCTGCGCGGATTAAGAGAGGAAGAGGTGGCGACGGCTGCATCTAATTTAAAACACACTGATGTCACAGAGATGGCAAACCAAAGTGCCATCCTCCATGTCAGACAATAAGCAGCGAGGAAGCCTGATACCAGAACCACAGGGAGTCTGGGGTTGTTTATAGACGGGCAGATTCATGTTCAGATTAACAACGTCGCATCAGAAACGACCAGAAAACATCAACACTCACAAGGATCTGGAAGCCGTAGTTCCTCTGGACGGGAAACTCCTTGACATCATAACATGTGGAGAGGTCGATTTCGCCATCCAGCTCCGAGGCCTGAAAGAAAACGGGTCAGAATCAGGAGAGAATTAATATTTTAGGGCTTAAAGTGCCCTGTTTATTCTATAGCAGCGGCTGCATTTCCATTACAAACTAGCTCAAATCTTTGTCGATATTCTGCTAATGTTACCACCGCAGTGTTTCTATTAAATAAGAATTTAAATTAAAATCACACATGAAAAAGTTTGATCATTAAAAACATGTTGCACCACTTCCTGTCGTCTTCTTCTTGGTTTCCACCAGTAGTAACATCTGGTTGTTGATCATGTGACTCGTGTGATGAGATTTATAAAATCAACCAAACTTACCTGGCCAAAACAAACACCTCATCCTAGCACCAAAACTTTACGTTTTTTTCAAAATTTACGTTTTTCCATTAAGCAAATTTATTTTCAAAAAGTCGAATTGTGCAACTATATGGTCAATGGAAACACAGCTGTTGTTACCTTCAGTTTATATATCAAATACGACTTAAAAGAAATCTGACTTCCTAATTCAGGGGTGGCCAAGTCCAGTCCTCGAGAGCTGCCATCCTGCAAGTTTCAGATGCATCCCTGCTTCAACACACCTGAATCAAATGACTGGCTCGTTATCAGGCCTCTGTAGAGCTGATCCCGGTCTGTTGGAGTAAGAATCCTTCTAAAACTTGCAGGATGGTGGCTCTCGAGGACTGGACTTGGCCACCCCTGTCCTAATTTATCATCTTGAAACTGGGCCTCTGTCTCTTTAAGAAACTCCTGCTCTTTCTGAAGCTCCGCCTCCAGGAAGTCATTCCAACATGGCTCCTCTATTAACCCTTTAACATTTTTACAGCCGTTGCTCTGAGAAGCAGCTCCTATAATGAGCTCAGCAGCTGGTTGCTAATTGCTGCTGGCTAGTCTGAAGGAGCTGATGTGGGAGGAGCTTCACCTGGGAGGCGGAGCTAGGTCCACCCAGGTTTTAGGTTGCCATGGAGATTAAAGGATTTCTCAGACATGCATGAAAGAATCAAATCACTTCATGTTTGGTTTTGATGAGGGAAAAACATTGAAACACGATTTAAAAAAAAAAAAAAAAAAAACATCCATTTTACATGACACTGCCTCTTTAATTCAGCTTTAAAGAACAATAAACTCCTCACCTCCTCAGCGATCGAATCTTTGTAGAACCTCAGGTTCTGGTCTGTCAGCACAAACCAGTGTTTCTTCCACTAAAGAGAAAAATAAAAGTCGGTTACATTAAATCAGCCAAGCAGAGGAGATTTAATCCTGCTAATGAGTCAAATTTACCACTCCGTCTTCATAAAGCTTCGTCATCCATCCTTTCTTAAAGTTCAGCAAATCCGGCTGCAGAGAAAGCAAATAGATAATAATAATAATATTTATCATTTAATTAGAGACGCAGAAAAAATCTGTTATATAGAGAATCGCAATTCCAAGTATTCAAAATGCTCCACAAATCTTTCTTTTTTTTGTTGCTAAATTATATTTTGAATAAGTCCTTGATAATTATAGTTTTTATTTAAGGAAAAAGTTTGTTTTTAAAATACATAATAAAATACTTTATTGATCCCCAGGAGGAAATTGATTATTTAACAAACTACTCCATCCAGTATCATTAAATACAAATAAAACCGTGAGAAAAATAAAATTTATAAAGAATATTCACATTAAAGTGCGATGTAAATATAAATAAATACATAAAATAAAATAGAAAGAAGCATGCACATAGAAATATGTACATTTACAATCAATAAATCTAAAAATGAGTCCAGAAAACATTTAGTGTTTTTAAACTATGATTTAAAAACACTCAGATTTGGGTATTTTAAATTTGACATGTTTCATTTTTTATGAATGTGTTGATGTGTCTTTAAGTTATCAAATAAATCTGTAATTCATTTATGCCTGTGTTTTAAAAGAAACAAACATTTAAGTGAACTCAGCATGTTTTCTCTGTATCGTATCGGCCGATACTAAACCACCGATATCGGTATCGGAAGTGAAAAAGTGAATCGGTTCGTCCATAAAAAATCCCACTGAAATTAATTTTTAAACCAATATTTATAAGACGACGCACAGAAGGATAATTAGTTATATTTTCTGACAGTCATCAGGTTGTTATAAGTAGGAAATTTTAAAATCACATATTGATAGATAAAAATCCTATTTTTTTTTTCTTTTCTTTAATGTTTTTCAGTGTTCTGAGTTTGATTCATATGGAACATAAAGGGCTTTAAAATAAATAACATCTGAAACTGTTTGCTACACGTTCCTCCAGTTTCTGCAGAGAAATGTCCGACAGAAAACCTGATAATCTTTGGGGCAGATAAAGTTGTGAAGCGTTTGCTCGTTAAGTTCGGAAGCGGAGCCTCGACTGCAGACTGACTGGCGGGACCTGGACCGTCCCTGTGAAACACAAACTGCTGCCTTGGAGCAACCTGCAGGCCGTTTATAGACGCCAAACTCAGAACATTCGCCTAGAAATGAGCCGTGTGATCGGCGGCGGTACCTTGTTTTGGTTGAGTTTCATCCGGTGAGGAGTCACCGCCTGGCACAGAGTCATTCTGATCGCCTTTAACTCATTTGTTGACAATCTGTTTCTGTCTCTGCCACGCAACTCTGCCTGCTTCTGAGCTGGTTATTTATAATCGGCAGCAGTGGCGGCAGTGGTGTATGTAGACGTGTGCATGGAGTGGGGGGGGGTTTGGCAGCTGCAGCCGGGACACAGAAATCAGCCACACGCTGACTGGATTACCCCGAAACAGACCACAGAGTCAGACTGGGAGTCACCGATGCAGATTGAAGCAGATTCACTGCACAAACACAAAATATTAACAAGTAGTTTTGTTCTGGTTTCCAGTGCAAATATCTTAGTGAGCTTAAAAGACGACAAAACTAACTTACAACTAACTTTTCAGCAAGATATAGGAGCTTGTTTTGATTAAATAGTTCCTTAATATTGGTGAGAAACTTCTAGTTCTACTGGTGCTGTTACCTAGCAACGCAAGCCGAGCCCAGCCGTTACCTAGCAACCAAGTTCTAGCTCCACTGGCTGATTATTTCACTTATAAGACATTTTTTCCAGTGTTATAAGAGCAATAACAAACCAGAGAAACCTGAGCATTTCTATCAATATTAAGAAATTATTGACTTAAACAAGCTTCTATATCTTGTAAATTAGTTTTGTACAAAGATATTTGCACTGGAAACTGTACAAAAATATTTGGTAAAATGTTGTGTTTGTAGTGTTGATAGCTGCAGAAATGCTTTTTTAAATTTTGTTTTCAGAATTTATAGCCAAGATTTTTTTTACCCCTCTTACACTTGTTTTTATGAACCCTTTGGGATGGATGGTTGGATGGATGGATGGATGATGGATGGATGGATTTATGGATGATGGATGGATGGATGATGGATGGATGGATGGATGGATGGATTTATGGATGATGGATGGATGGATGATGGATGGATGGATGGATGGATGGATTTATGGATGTATGGGTGATGGATGGATGGATGGATGGATGGATGGATGGATGGATGGACTGACAGACGGACAGACAGATGTTCAGCTGGTGGTTTTAGTCGCCACACTGACCGTCATTGAAGACTCTGAGGCTCTGCGGTCCAGAGACTTTGCTCTTCGTAAGTTGAGGAAGTTGGAGCTGGAGACGTCCGGCGCCAGGCGGTCCTTCCCCGTGTCCAGTGACATCTCCTAAAAATCACAAAACCATCAGAAACCGAAGGCGTCCGGCTTCACTTCAGCACTAATCAACCATCAGGACAGCGGCGTACGTGTTTCCCATCCAGACAACGTCTCTCGCTCCGGCTTTGTCTCTGGATCGCAGTCGTGTTAGCCGAGGTGTCATGGCCGCCGCTGCTGCTTGTGTCCATACGCTCCACTGATTGGTTCTCCTCAAACCGGCCGATGATCTGAGATCTCCTACAAAAACAAACAAAAAACAAAAAACAAAAAAAAACGCACCGATCAGTCATTTCTTCAAAAACTATGGAGCCCCCTAGTGGACATGGAGAATTATTTTCTGTACGTTCAATCACAATTAGTAAATACAGCCTGGTCTATTACAGAATAGAATATAATTTATTGATCCTCCATGGGAAATTATTATTTGTTGACAAGCTAGTCCCATCCAAGTGCTAATTATTAGTAAATAGAAATATAACCACAACATTTCTAAAAATATATATACAAGTGCGAGATTATACGTATTTAAATATGATTAAATATTAAATAAATTAAATAAAATAACACCAATAAACGGTATAGTGTGTTAGAGATAAACAGCACATTTAAAACCTTCTACATTTTTCTACATTCTTAACTCTTTGTTGAAAATCAATCTAACTTTGTGTTCATGTTTGTGAAAGGTTAAGATGGGATTGCACATAATACTGTCATTGCATAAAAACATGAAAACAATAGAAATTCCCCCCATGTCCTCTAGGGGGCTCCATAAAAAACAGATGAAAGTCAATATAAATAAAAACACAGAATACCAAAAATATTACAATATGAGAGTTTTGATTAGTTAAAACCAGAATTAAGGAAAACTTTCAATGTTTTTCAATATTAATGTCCTTTTGTTGCTGAATAACGGTAATAACTCCACAAAGATGCACCTACAGCTGAACAGTGGTGTTAAATGATGAAAGAGGAAATAATTATTCCAAGAATGGCTCATTATACATATTGCCGAGGCAGCAGCAATGAAAACAGTCAACGTTACCTGAAGGCACTGCAACTCGTAAGAGCAAATGTCTTAGAAATGAGTAACTCAATCTGGAGAGGTTAAACTGAATGTACAAAGGAAATGAGGTGAAACGGTGCGAGTGTGCGCTCCCAGCTGGTGCAGAGATGAAATGAGAGAAAGCAGGAATCAGCGGTGACCAGCAGGGGGCAGCAGGGAGTGGAGGGGTTGGCTGGGCTTTAGCTCTGAGAAGCTCGGTTCACAAGCCCTGGAAAAGATCGAAACAACAAAAGAAACTAGCAAGGCGGCAGGAGCAAAAGGTAGAAAGCACCAGAAAATGAGCATTTATCTCCCCAGAACCGAACCCAGTGGAGCGCAACGGCAGCAAGCAGGAGCAAACAGAGTAAAGACACAGAGTGGTGCTAAACTACTGGAAAGCTGAGTGTTTAAAGCATGGCAGGAACTAGTTATATCAGTGGTGGGCACTGCTAATGCAGAGCTAATATTTTAGTTAGTACTTTAGCTTACTTTGAAAATGTTTAGCGCACCTAACTTCCTCAAATTTTTTTTATTTTCAAATGTTCAATTAGTTTATTAGATCTTTATATTCATGCTTTTATTTTGAAGTTTGTTTAGGCAGCAGTTCACCTTTTCAGTGCTGCTGAAAGTTACGTTTAAGTCAGTTTGGCACTAGAACAAAGATTTATAGGAAGATTTAGGTTTTGTAGTGTGATGGAAAAGAAAATTCAATAAAAAATTTGATTAAAGACAATGCGAAATTCAATCTAATTGTTTTTCCTCCATATCCCCCAAAAGTTTAACATCCCTCTTGCGCCCTCTAGGGGACGGGAGCCTCCTTTTTGCTTCAGCGTTACCAAACCCAACGTTTCAGTTAGCAGTGCCCACCACTGGTACATACAGTCTAAAGCTCTTAATATTCAGGTTAATAAATCTCCTGCAGCTAAATGCATTTCAGCAGTCGCTGCGTTTCCATTGACCACATCACTGTGCAGTTTGACATTTCAAAAATAAATTAATTTAATAAAAATATGCTAAACCCAATTCTCTGCTAAAACGTTTTGGCCCCAGAATGAGGCGCTTTTTTTTTTTGCTGTCAAATTGGTTTATTTTGTAAAACTGCAGTGGAGTTTTAGATCCGTCACGGAACAAATAGTCCCAGAAGTTACTGTGATAAACGATAATATTGTTATCTGGAGACCATTTCCTAGTAATATAATTGCCGTAATTGAACAGCACATTTTCAAAGATAAATGAACTTTAAATTCTAACAAACATTTAACACTGGAGCTGGAAGACATTTTAAATATCCAAAATAAAGAAAAAACAACAAATAAAATGGAAATTATTGAGTTTGTTTTAATTTATTGTGTGATTAATTGATTTATTGATTATTGCTGGATGTCGCCACTGGAGCCATGAGGAAGAAGACGACAGGAAATGGATGCAGGATGTTTTTAATGTCTTATTGTGTGAACAAACTTATTCAGGTTTGATTTTAATCGTGTTTAATGGAAACACCTCCGGTGTGAAATTGTGATTTTTAGACATTAGCAGAAAGTTTTGTATTGAAAACGCAGCTTGTGATAAAATCTACTTTATTTATAAGGCACCTTTCAGGCAGACATAATTCAAAGTGTTAAAAACACACAGAATAAGAAAAAAACCGGTTAGAGTAACAGGAGGAGGTTTGTTCTCACCTGCGCTCCTCCCCAAACAGCCGCACCACCTCCTCCCTGCCGGGGCTGCGGGTCCGCTCCCGCAGCTCCTGCCGCCTCTTCTCGGAGCGGAAGGCGTCCTTGTAGCTCAGGATGCGGGCGCGGGGAACGTCGGACAGCGCCGTGTACTCCCTGCCGGACCGGCCGACCCGCCCGACGCCGCGCGCGGTTCCTCCGGCCCGGCCGCGCGCCTCCCAAGTGGGCGACGCCCGGCTGCTGGGCTCGGAGTCCAGGGAGCTCTGGGAGGAGCTGATGGTGGAGTAGCTCGGGGAAACCAGAGCTTTAGGGGAGGGGAGCGGGTCCGGGGAGCGCTGGGCGGCGGGGAGGTCCGGTTCGTACCTGGAAGCTCCTATAGAGGAGGAGGACGCCGAGGAGGAGAGGGGCAGGTGCTGAGGAGGCGCCGGGTTCGGCTCCGACTTGGTCTTCTCCAGGGAAAAGTATCCGCTCTCCACTCGGACTTTCCGGCCTGAGCCGACGGCGCCGCCGTCTGAAACGCAGGAACACGTCAAGTCAAACATCCTGTCTGCAGACGGCAGGAAATACGTTTTATTTCATGAGTTCACTGGGATTTCATTCATCACGAAGTAAAGATCATCCAGAATGGCCTTTAATCAAGATTAAAGAGGAAAGATGCAAAACTTTATTACAATAAAAACCTGGAAAGTTTGTGGTTGTAACATGAGAAAGTCTGGAATATTTCAGCAGGTAAAGCACCTTTTCCAGGCTCGGTTTTATTACACGTCGCTATTTTCTAATAAGATCGTCCAGGCTGGTCACAGGAACCTGAAGATGCTCACAGCCCTGCAGGTGATGCAGAGAACCACCTGATGCAATCTGGTAACCTGGCGGTTTCCTCACCGTCTCGCGTGGCGACGGCGGCGTCCGGCTGGCTCTGGCCCAGCTGGCTGAGGCAGGACGCGCTGCGGCTGCAGGGGATGGCGGCGCGTCCCCAGCGGCTCTGCTCCTGCCACAGGGTGGCGCGGCTGGTGGGGACCTGCTCGGCGTCGGCCATGCTGCCGGGGAGGCAGGGGATGCTGCCGCTGGTCACCGTGACCTTGGCCGGGCCCGGCTCCTGGGGCGCAGGGCGAGGCGGGGGACGGGGGCAGAGGGGGGAGAGGGCAAAACAGGAGGAAAGGTCACAGATCGACTACAAGGGGAGCGCACAGGAACAAAGGAAGACGTGGAAAAGTTACATTTTCATTTCAATTACGCACTTCTTGCAAAGCTTGCAAGGTTGTTGGATTGAAGTTAGCAGTAAGGCTGGGCGATCAATACGTCTTATTGATCAATCAGTTGGTTTTTGGATGGTGTTTCATCAATACGCTCAGAGTGATGTCATCACGCCAAGAGCGGCCATCTTGTTTTACAGCTTCTGTTAACTTTGAGTTCAGATCAACTTTATGACCAAATAGTTTTTTTCCTCTGGATTACGAGAAAAAACTCAACATTACATGAAAACTGTTGTACAGTAATGAAGTCACAAAATAGGACAACAAAGTTTTAATTTTACCAGAAACATTTATAATATTAGGAGAATAAATTAGTAATTTTATTAGAAGTCATCAAAACAATGAGGAATGCTGAGCGTCTTGTGAAGTTAAACTTTGGGGTCTATTTTACTTTTAAGAGATTAGCATCAAATTATTATCAGTAGCAGGACTTTGACACAAATCTGAACAGATGTAGAAGTAAAAACACTGAGGTGCTCATTAAAATCGCATTTTATCGCATTTTTAAGACGTGAAATTGTGTTTTTATTATAGTTTTTATTACCTCACTGCATAACGTACAAAAGGAATGACTGAAATAATTTTCAGCATTTGTGATTTTTTTATAGAAAAGAAAATTGGAGATGAGGCATGAAAATAATCTGTGATTTTGTTTTAATCCACATCGCCCAGCCCTGCCTGCCAGCGACGAAGCAAAGAGAGCAACAATCAGCAGGAGCTCGATCACAGCAAACAAACCTGCAATTCTGCTGGAAACACAGAAATAAAATATTTTGCAGAAATATTACAGCATTTTCAGTGATCAGCAGGTCCATCAAACTGTTGCAGGAGGAAAATTTAAAGCGAAGAAATCATCGACTTTCTTAGAAATCCAACATGCTGCTGCGCTAAAATGACTGGGTTTGCACCAGAATCAGGGATCGTAGTGATTATCTGCAGGAAGCAGCAGAGCAGACGGGTTGATTGGGCCGAAACTCACGGAGTCTCCGTTCATGTCTTCAGTGGAAAAACTCTGGGGGAGCGAAACGCCGTCCTGCCAATCACACAAGCTCTCCACGTTAGATCGTTCAGACGCAGGCAGGAAAATAAATGTTCACTTAATGAGACAAAAGGTTGGAAAGCGGAACTGAAACCGAAACGTTTTTCCTTTTTCCAGTCAGAGCAGGAAAAAAACTAAGTGACTGCTAATTCGTCTGAACATTTCTGAGCTTGTTCTACTCAGAAATTTTTAT